TGCCGTCGGGGGTTTGTTTTACGAAATAGGCAAAAAAGGGAGGGTGGGAAGTGCAGGTTTTTTTGGGGATGAATCAGCTTTAAAGTAGTTTTATTTTTGTAAAAGCCTAGGTTTGTGCGGGAATGGTTAGGGAAAGTAACCGGGTTTGTGGGGGGGGGGAAAGGGTTTGTCGGTTTTGAGGCGCCATTTAGATGTAGGTGGGGTTTGGGGTAAAGGTTCAAAGGGCAGGGGCCCTTACTTAATGGTTGATTCTGTGTAATATATCAGGGGCAATGAGAGACAAAGGGGCGGAGGAACGTAGATGGCCATAGCAGCATCCTTTAATAGAACAAAGTGTCGCAACAGGGAAATATAGGGTAGGAGGTGGGAGAGGGATTTCTCGGAGGGCTAACAGGAATTTTCTTTTGAGGGATTTATGGTCTTTATAAGCTTTCCGGGCATGAACGGCTGGCCTCCCAGGGGGGGGTGTTGCAGAGGACGATTGTGTGAGTGTGGTGGGGAAAATTTGTGTGAGGAAAGGATGTTGAGGTGATTTTCAATGTGATATTCAATGAATGCCCTTGGTGTAATTGTGAACACCGAGATTATAATTTATCTAAGGATTCCATCATGTTTTGTAAGGATGTACATAACTGTTAGTTTTAAGCAAAATTTAACCGAAATTTAAATACATGTCTACCTATATATGAGCAATGTAACTTGTCATAATAATGAGGTTTCATACCTGTTTTTTAACTAGTGGAACGTTCTGGTATTGTATAAAATGTAAGATCTTGCCTGGGGTGTTTTTGCTTATATATTGTTACAGAGGTTTTTCACATTTTCATTATATATGTCAAGTGAATGAGTTTTTTGATTTGTTATAGCCAGGTAAACTGGTCAAGTTTTTCACTTGGGGGGGGGTAGGAGTTTAAGTAATCTCTGCAATAGCAGGTCAAGTGATACACATGTCATATTTTTTAGATGTCTAATGTTGTCCATTCTCTGTAAAGGGTGTGATGTATAGATTATCTCCGACAGTGTAAATAATCTGTCCTGCTGGAGGGAATAATATGTAAAATTTATTTATTATTGTGGTAGGTTTTTTGTGGTAGCGTGTTTTTAGGGTGATATATTATAAGATGCTAATTACATACAAGGGCTGTTGGTGGTTATGAGTGGGGAAGGCAGACACAGTTAAAAGGTATGTGGGGGGGGGGGGGGGTTGAAGTGTCATCGGTAGTGTCTTAAACCCACACCGTGCACGATAATTAATTATTACCATAGGGTATATGAGGTAGGGTGGATTGTGTCTATGGTGGAAGTGAGCATCAGGTACAGACATTCCCTTGTATTATAGTGTCAAGCCGTTTATTAGCTGCTGATAGTGTTTTATATATATAGTCATTGAAGTTTTTAATGCTTTTTACAAATGGGGGATAAGGAGATTGGTCACTGTGTATCTAAGGTGAAAGTGGCCACGTTTCATGGGGGGGGAGTGTAAGCTTTACCTGGGTGTTTTCTATTGTTTTTATATGACCACCTTTTCTTGTGAAGCAACAGTACGTACAAGCGGGTGTTAGATTTGAGTGCAGCAGCCAGTTTCTGTCATTATATATGTGCTTCCTTCAGTACTGTGTAGTCACAGTTGATTTTGTTCACATGCCTGTAATCTTTTACATAATGATTTATGTACCCAATATTGTACCCTGAGTTTTAAATAAATATAAAAAAAAAACTTTGATTAGTTTCGTTTTTGGATATCTTTTTTAGTTTCCTAGAATTTCGGATAGGTTTGTCCAGGTATTTTTTATATCACCTTTTATTTATGTAATCTGTTGTTTAATTAATAATACAATTTTTTTTGACCTTCTTATCAGGCCTGTAAAGAGCTGACGAATAACGTTTAGAAATGGTCTTTGTTATTTGACCATTCTGTACTGTTCTTCATATAGAGGTGCTTTGTGTTATGGATTAAGATGCCGGGGGGGTGGTAGGGCCAGGGACTGTTCAGTCTCTAGCTGTGTCTGTTTAGTTTCTTAGGGCAATGCTTTGTTTATAGAGTAGTGATTTTTTTTAAATTATAATACATTCAATTCCTATCTGTATGTTTCAAGCTCATTATGCCAGTCAATGTTATTCAATTAATCTGTTATAAATTTATTAACAGCTGTCTCGTTTATGTAGACTGAAGGTAACTTTTTATGTCTTGGGGCAATTTACCTAGGTTTGGGTATGAGAAAGGTTGGGGTATTGGGGGGGCGGGGGGGGGGGCGGCGGGCAATTTATGCCTGATTTTTAAAGGGATATGGTGTTAGTCCAATGTGTCTAATAAGGGTGATACTAGTCTCCGGAGATTCTTGTAGGTTTTGTTATTGTTGGTAGCAACAAGCAGTTGTTCATAGTGTTTGTGAACTCGGTCACCTGTGGGTCCTGGTCATGTAGTAGATTTATGTATAAATTTCCTGTGAGCAGCAAGTGGTCTTTGTTCATATGTGCATCAGTTATCATGTTTCCTAACTTTTCATTAAAATAATAAATGTTTGACTGTGGTACTCTGTAGATGTTTATCACTGTGAGGGGTTTTTGCAGGTCTTTTGATTTAAATTTAGCTATAATATATTCTCCATATTTATCCCTTGTGCAAGAATTATTGATACAGTAAAGTTGATCTGAGTTGTATATAGCTGTTCCACCCGCTTGCTCTCCTGTCCTACAGTTGTGTATGGCTGCGTAACCAGGAATGACATAGACATCTGTAGTACCAGGCTTTAGCCAAGTTTCTGTGAGTGTGATGATTGACATACTGGTATGAAGGGAACTGAGTAATGCTGTGAGGTCATCCTAATGTTTGCTCAAAGATCTGACATTGTAACTAAAGATAATTATGTTATTGTTGGCTCTGAGTAATATCTTTGCTTGGTCTGCTGTAAAATAATTACAGTTGCTGTTCGACTCGTGTAAGTCATTTAATAAAAGGTTGAGATCAGGATCAATGTTTGTAA